CATCGATTGTTTTTTTTTGTGTATCGCTTGTTACTTTTTGTAACATTGCTTGTTTTTTTTTGTGTATATTTGTCGATAAAATTTTATTGTGCTTAGTGTTCGCCCATTTGTGGTCGGCCGTTAAACCGCGGTAGTCAATACTTGCGCAACTTGGGGCAGAACTTTTACAACTCCTCATCTTTTTGCGGTTATATAAAGAGGATGGGAACAAGTGATAGTCCTAGGGTAGGTACCAAGCAAGCAGGACGAAATCCCGAAACATCACCCTTACAGTTGTTTTTCTATGCCTTTGTACTCTCCCCTTCGATGCAATGCCCTTGTGGACGGTATCATCAAGTGCACGTCATTGAAAAGTTTTGTGTGCACCTCACCCTCAAGTCGCCCCTTTTACGACAATCTAATGATGATCGTTTTTGGCTGGACCATGGTACTGGCCAATTAGTTACTACGTTTCTGTACTGCGGTTTCTTCAGCTACCCGTTTGTATCTTGGTTAAATGACTTTTTCCTCCTTGGAAACTTTCCCTTTTAGATTAATGTAAAACAATGAGCTCGTTTTATGAAGAGGATGATGATGATGCTGGAGACTATTCTTATGGTTTGGACGATAGTAATGATGGTGAATCGAGACCCACAGTTGTATTGATGGGTCAAAAAAGGTAGGATTTGTATTCGGTAAAAATCTTCTCAGCAGACATTTTTTCTTTGTTCGTCTTATTCATTTTCCTTATTTTAAGCTCGACTCGTATTTGATCTTATTTTTCGAATGTTTTGTTTTCGGGTAATTTTTAATCTTCCAATTTATTACCCCTTAGTTCTGGAGGATTATATCTTTTTTCATTTGAAACGTCGTAGTTGCGTCATCACTTTTCAACGGAATAAACCACAAAACTTTCCATGGAACAGCATGGCTCCCTAACCTAAAACAGGGAAAACTGTGGTGAACTTTAGCGCAGTGTTGAGTGGAAAAGACTTAATTGCTACCCTTCTCCATTACATATGTTTAAATTTAAAAGGATTTCTAGAGTAGTGCGATTTGCAATCAATTGGTGCTATTTTAGGAGCGGTAAAACATCTATACGAAAAGTTGTGTTCCAAAAAATGTCGCCAAACGAGACATTATTCGTCGAAAGCACTGCCCGTGTTACGAAAGATGGTATGCAAAGGTTTTCTTTTCGACAAGCTTTATGGTTTGTAACTTATCGTCTGGTTTCCAGTTATCGCATCGTCTTTCATCAATTTTGAAACGCTGGAATTTCCTGGACAAATGGATCCATTTGACAGTTCTCTTGATCCCGTAGCAACATTCAAGCGATGTGGTTGGTTCATCACCGTTCTTATAGTTATTTTTCGACACAGAGTTCGATATTTTTCTGTTTCTTTCATTCGAAGAGTGCTCACAGTTGTCTGTGTTGCACCTGTGTGAGATGTGGGGAGTTGGCAGCTAACGCTAAAATCGACAGAATTCGAAAGAGTCCGCTTTCTACTTATACTTGACCTTTATTTACCGAATCACCTGCCATATTATTTCGCGTAGTTCAAAGGATGAAGCGCTCGGTTACCTCTTCAGTTTGATGCTCATCGGATTCCTTATTTTCTTTGATTTTTTTTACTCAATGGCTGATGCCGTGGTGCAGTAACAACTCGTGGAGGGAGCATTGTCTTTTTATTTTGCTTACTTGACTTAATTTTCTTTGCTATAATTACTTATTCTTGTTAGGAGCATTGCTGTTCATCGTTGATGCTCAAGACGAATACGTCGACTCTTTGAAGAAAATGTCAGAGAACTTCACTCAAGCTTTTCGAATCAACCCTAACATTAAGTTCGAAGTGTTTATACATAAGGTATGACTCAAATCTCCCTCTTTTTCGTTTTTCTCTGATGCTAGTAGTTATGTTGTTGTTTAGAAAAATTCTGGATAATACGCATCCGTCAAATTGTTATTTGAAGTGGGAAATAGCGATAAGTATTGTATTTTTAGGCAGATGGCTTAACTGAAGAAAGCCGTGTCGACGCTCAATATGATATTTATAATAGGGTTGGTAGTTGTTAACCTTCGGTTCATATAATGGTTAGATGTTAGATGTGACTCTTTATTAGCTCCTTTTTAGGTGAAATGTCAATTAGCAGAGCAAGGGCTTGAAGATTTCAACGTAACATTCCATTTAACATCCATTTACGATCACTCAATTTTCGAAGCTTTCTCGAAAGTGGTGCAAAACTTGGTGAAGCGTCTTCCCACACTTGAAAGGCTTCTTGACATTTTCAACCAGGTATTTAAATTACATTTAAGGTCTAATTTTTCCAAAGGAGACTTAGTAAATTCAAGATGTAGTAAGCTAGTCGTGAAAGAGTTGGGCTGCAGAGTTTTGATGAAGCTGTGGGACGACAAGCCTTTCCCACAGCTTCCCACATCCCTGTGTGATTTCACTAACGTTCTTCGTTTTCTTTTTTCTTTCCTTATTTTGAGTTTTTTTTTTGGTTTTAAAGTATGCATACGATCAACCATGTACAACAGTATGTGGTTATACCGTTCATGGTGAATGCGATTTGCTACAAAACAGAAAAGATTATTTTCTTTCCGAAAGGTCTCTTAAATGCAAGTTGGAGTATTTTCATCTTTATTTATTTTTTAGGGTTCAAACGTTGAGAAATCGTTTCTATTTGATGTGGCTTCAAAAATTTACATCGCAACAGACACAACACCAGTGGAAATGGCCGCATACGAGTTATGCTGTGATATGATTGATGTCACTATCGACATATCTGGAATTTACGGGTTCGTTTCGTTCTTGATTGGTTTTGTTTTTTTTTTGCTGCAAAGATATGCTCGCACGATATTCTGCGCTAATGTTAAGTTTCAATTTTTCCAAGTTAAAAATAGGTGGGATGATGAAATGTTTTGGTTTCGTAACGTATTTTCTGCGTTCTGCTGTTTTGTTTCCTGGTTTAACAAATCAATGTTTTATTTTGAACTGTACTTCCTCGCGAAGAATTCTTTGCAAAGTGCCAATGGTTGATGGTATTTTAAAGGGTAATGTGCACTGCTGTGTAGAAGTGCTTGTGTTGGTAGAATCGTTTGAAGGTAGCACTCGTAAACATAATCTCCGCTGCTATGGTTTAGTTCTTTTGTAAGTTCAAACGGTTCCATCAAGATGTAATGAACCATCTCTTTTACTTGAAGCAGCGATAGCACTTTGGCGTTTCACCTTCCTGACACCTATATCCAATGCTGTACTTCTAAGTGGAAGTAAACCGAGCCGAAAGTGTAGGGACTGGGAAAACGACATGTGAAATTTTAGGAAATTTAGGAAAATCATCTGTAAAGCTTTTCCTATTTTGAAATATTTGTTATTCAATCACCTCTGAGTGTTTTCTGTTTTCTTCGGAGTGATATCAGGAAGTAAAGGTATTTATTTTTAGCGTTAGAGAGAAAGACGGTGAAGTGATGAGCCCTTTCGATGATAACTCATACGCTGTTATCCGACTGAAAACTGACCAGGTATATTGATATTGAGGCTATGAATTGTTCTAGTAATTCCAGCTCTTTATTTTATTTTTTCTCACAATTTGTTTACTTTTCTTCAATAATTTTATAAATTCTCATAGGTAATGTTTCTTCGTCAACTGAATAAGCACTTGGCCCTTGTTTGTGTAATACGTGGTGAGAATTTTGAGAAACAAGGATTGATCGACTATAACTTTAACTGTTTCAAAGAGGTCAGTTTACACTCATATTAATTTTTATTCAATTTTTATTTTGTTTTGTTTTTAGTCAATATTATGCTCTGCTTAATCAGATGTGTTGTTTCATATAAGATTTTATTGCAAATTTGTTTAGGGTATTGAGAAAGTGTTCACGGTACGGAAGCAGATTCAGGAAGAGTCGAAACGTCCTTCGTAATTTTATATGATTATGAAACACAACATTTGTATATAAATCTTTCAACTGCATGATGTCCAAGTTGGTGCAGTGTTGATGAGCCAACTCAAATATCTGAAGGTCCTATGAATGGCAGTAGTGCAGAAGGGCTGTAAACTTGATGTAGGTTGATTTTTATAAGTCACATTAATTTTTTGTAGGAAGATCTGCCAACTCCTCCGGGGGAGAATTGAAATGATTTTTTTGGGGTGAATCATCTCAAGCGTATAGTCTCTTTCACATGTACGCTGTACGCTATCAATTTCACCCGAACAATCTCACCAGATAAGGTGCAACCCTGTCCTCTACGGTGTCTTCTCGTCCATGATAAGAATGCAACATCAAGGGAGAAACTGGTTACTTTTTTCTGGATGACAACTGTGACCAAGCCATAGTGCAACTTGGTTTGATTTGATGTTTTTTATATAGCTGCTGTTTTTTCACAGCAGTCCGAGAAGACATAATAAAGTTCGATAGCTAAAGCTTCAGGATCAGTCACCTCACGCTGTTTACTTTCACCCTTTCACTACCGGCTGAGTTTTGACAAAATAGGATTTTTTACATCCAATTTCTGCACAAGGATGAATTTTAGCTGTAGAGTAGTTTTGGAGCCGCAAAACTCATATACCTTTCACGCATGACAAGAGCCCAAGTCGGAGTGTTGTATCAATTGTCAACTTTTTGGAATTCAGAAATACATAAATCCATACTCTTACTCCCTTTATTGCATCGAACGTCAGTAGCCTATAATGTCGCTAAATGTCCACGTATTGTCATTCCTGATTGTAACTATGAACAGTGGGGGATTACGGTAAAATCATGGCTTTACGGTATGTTTGCTTTGGCATCCTTCAGTGTATCAAATAGAAGCTTACTTGTGGATTTACTTTCAGCACGCTTCGTGAAAGGTTGGTTTTTATTTGTTAAAATAAAAGGGGCTCAACTTCAAAAAATGTAACAGTTGGGCACAGCTGAATGGACTATCAATCCCCATCATGATGTGATCGCCTGGCTGCTTTCATAGTCCGTCGGCTGGGGGACTACTGGTTACAGGGCTGTTGTCAACCAGAATTTCTCTCGCTGAGAGGATCAGACGGCGAGGCAACTTCTGCGTCCGGTGTTCACCAGCGGGAGGAGGGCGTGTCCCCTCGTTGTCCGTACTCTCCTACAGAGTGCTCTTTCGTCAAGAGTGTCATTCGGGTGGGTCCAAGAATAGGAGAATTTTCAGAAAGACAGACTTCTTCCAACTAAGGAAACTTCTTATTTCGGAATTCAGATAGTCTGGGAGAAGCAAAGGCTTGATCTCTATCCAAATATAGATAAAACGTCTGTATAGAACATCTACACCGCGAAAAATCTATGTGGCTTGTAGAAAACCCAAGTTTGCATCCATTTGCTACTTTGTTTTATGGGAATCAGCGCTGAGATTAACAATATCGTTTGAAGAACTGCAACACCATTGATTCGATCTTAACCCGACAGTGTTCGCTAAGTATCTTATTGTATCAATGGTAAGAGTAGGGATTGAGGAATGGCCACCTCTTTCGTCTGCCCTCTATCCTCTTCGCGGTGAAATGCCTATTTGGGGAGACGCAGAGAAAACGACAAAAACGCTGAGTCACTACACACGCGGTTGACAACGGTCCTGTAACCGGGGACTACTCAGCCTACGGTATCGATCAAGATTCAGTTTATAAACAAGGCGCGAGCGCTGCCCTCGGCCGGGGGGCTACGAAAGCAGCCCCTGGCTTTTCTTCTCAAAACGACGAGCAGATGACGACATCGAATTTCTAGCCGAGAAGTTTTTTCTGCGATGACCTGTCAGTCCGAAGATTGTCAAAATGACGTCGAGAATCAGAATGCATACCTGAAAAGCTGAGGCTGTTAGGGTATAGGCGAATAACCTTCACTGAAGACCTATCAAACCTCCATGATGGTTATGACGCTGACTCCCATCCATAGACCGAGTTGTCCACCGAAATCTGAGAGCAAATTCGGTAACTGAAAATAGAACATTTGTACTTGTGTTGGCAGCGAAGGGTTTAGTTGGTTACAATCTTGTGAGGACTAGTAACCTCGAAAAACACCTTGAACTTTTCCGTGACCTACTACTTTTCATTCCACGGCCAGCTTATATAATAAACACAGGATAGGAATGAAGCTGACCCCGTAAGCTTCACTTTCCAGTAGAGACTCGTAATTGAGCTCTTCGTAGTAGACTTCAACCATAGCGCCTTGTTCCCTGAAAGTGCAGATTGGAAAGAGAATGTAACGAAGTGTTTACCCTCAAATTTCGGATTCTGATAGATATCGTACTGCCAAATGAGGCCGCTTCACATGTACGGTTCAGGGATCGCGATCAGGGTCGATACCCGCTCATCTGAATAGTTCATTCCTTCGTGGTGGCCTGATTGATAACATACACCTACTTCTCGTCAATACTTTGAGGGACAAAGCTTAGGAGACCTTAAAGCTCTTTCTAGTTGCATGGGTGCAAAGCATATTTCCCTGATCCTTTCAAAGAGGAGAAGCATTTTAGAATGTGGTCCCTATGTGCTCGCTTGAGGGGAAGAGGATATTTCGACAAGGAGCTGGTGAACTGTAGAAACATTCCGATACTTGTGTGCTCATACAAACCGGTACATTTTCACGAATATTATTCGGGTATAAAAGGGAGGGATGTCAGAGGAAAGCTTCAGTGGGGTCGTTCTGACGTGCTTGACCCTTTTTTAGGCTTGCCGAGCTTCGAAAAAAACGCTTTTATTACTCCTCTTTCTTATGGCAATTCGACAAGATTCTCTTGGTCCCTACATTTCCGAAATTGGGGTCTTGGATGACATTCTAAGAGGATTTTTTGATTTTTTGTCGGACCTTTTGTACGATAAGCAGTGGTGCGGTGCCATTCCTTCTGGACAACCACTCAGGTCACCGGGCACGGCTGGCCATCGAGAAGCTGAATAGGACACCGAATAGACGTCTTGGCTGTAAAATGTTCTTTTGGAAAAATCATGAAAGCTGTTATAAAGAGACTAAGTAGGACTAAAGCTAAACAGGAGGCACTGACTGAAGAACTCGATGAATACCTGCACGGTTGACGACACTTGCATCCAATTGTTTTCGGATATCGTACGGCGTATTGCATTTCTTGCTTCAGACATTCTCCTGTATTATGAACACAGAAAGATGTACATCATAAAAGGCGATTCACCCTTCTTAGGTGCGCTTTTTCGGTTTTTCTTAAGATTTTTTGGGACGTCTGACTTTTCTGGCCAATACAACGACTTGAAGGGGACGATCTGGCTAGCCGGCCCTCCTTCCTTTGATCCTCTTTGTTTAACATCAGTGAATCACCCGTTTTCGAAGCTTTGGAAGACATTCGATCAAGGATTTGTAGACATTATGGGATGTAGGATCTGCAGACCACAGTATCACCTACGGCTGTCCCACCTAGGCTATGACGAACTGGTTTCGAGAGCTTTTGTGAGAGCTGCATTTGCAAATCAATCAAACAGATGTTATGATCCAGATGGCTGGACCCCGATTTTTTTAGGGTTTGGAGCGCAATTATTATCGAATCAGTTGCTTTTTTTTNTTTTTTTTGGATTTTATGAAATCCATAGATGGAAGCTAACTCACTTTTGATTGGGTCATCAACAGGGCAGTTCTTGGTTTTACGGAAAGGTGGATAACGTGGATCACCACAACCGCATGTTGTGGCCAAGTGTTTCTGAATGCAACTTCGCTGGCAGCCCTGAAAGCTTACTTCGTAATTCAAAGTAGTATAGAGTAGATCCATTTAGAAGTTATTAGTTGTACTGTAGTGATAAGAAAGTATTTTCAATTGAAAGAATTTTTTGATGGTTCTGACCAAGTGGATAATGAAGTACACAGCAGTTTCCAGTAATTATGGATCCCGTTCTGGGAAGGACACGCTCACGTTTGACTTCCAGTAAGAATCGCAATAGCGTTTCGAGCTCAAACCCGAGTATTTTGTCCAAGCAGTGATTTATGGGTGCAAACCGGTCAAGAACTGAGTACCCACATGCTCTCATACAGGTCTGGTTCCCACTAAACTGAACCCTAAAGTTAAGTTGATCTGTAAGGGTCATCGATTCGGCACGTGACAACTAGACCGCCCGTGTGGTATAGGCCCCAATCGACACCAATCTACACTAGCAACATGTTGATTATTGAATTTTCATTTTCTCAATTTATTTCATTTCTCCTCGAATCTGATTCGTTGATTTATGATTTAACGTCTTGAAATGCATAAGTAATCAAACAGAAAAGTAAACAATTGTTTTCGTCTTACTTCGGTGCTGTACTGTTTGGTGACATAGATGTAATCCTCGTCTTTGCCTTCTTGAATGCAGTCTCCATATGGGGCTGGTAGACGTGTCATAGTCTTCTGAACCATCATCTTTTGCCAATTCTCTCAAGGTTTATGTGTTTTCTGTGTTTGATACCAATTTTATGCCGAAACTGCTAACAAATCCAGTGGGAGCAGAATGTCCCAGTGAGTCCGGAAACGGTTGTTCTTCGATGGTGTGCACAGTGAGGCGAACACCAGCTGCTTCCGTTGTCGGTAAATATTCGGATATGTTGACGAACACTTCGAGACGGAGACCTATGAAATTACTGATCCGTAATGAACTTGAACAAATTTCTAGTGAGAGTACCCTACCGTATGCTGGTCCAGCTCGTTCATTCGTAATGTTTGCTGCAGAATGCCGGCCAACATAGGTAAAACATGCGCCAAAGGTAGGATCCAGAAATGCGTTGAACTCTCTGGAAAGTTGTCATCAGGCGGTCTACCGTAATCCAATAGTAAAACTGGTTACAGTAATCACGGTTGCTATGACTAACTCGTCAACTTTACATTCTTGTCCATTGAATGAGCACTTGAGTATCAATTCCGATTTTTTATAACTGATGGCCCATTTTTCTTGTTCAGTGAGCTCATCGACAGCGAAAATGATATTTTCCATAGCTTTGCCTTTCAGCGCTATCGGATCCTTGACACCCTGAAAATAGACCCATTTGACCCGATTCTAGTATCTAATATTATGAAATTATGTTATCCCGGTAATGTAGACGAAACAGTGTCTATAAGTTCGGTCTCAACCTCGACGCGTGCGGCTGGAAAACGGCGCAAACGAAGACCAGAGGAGCGCCTTTAACAACTTGCATGAGGACTCGAAAATAGTTGGCTTCATCCCTATCCATCGTTCACTCAGGAAAAGTGACCTCAACACACCAGGAAAAGGGACTACGCTTATTCTTGGGGCAACCGCCTGAGAAGAAGGAGTAGAATAAGTAAATATCTGGTCTAAACAAGGCTATTCTGTTTTCACATTTCAAAAAATTTCCGTAAATTTTTACATACCGTATATCCATAGGCTTTCTCACGATCCAGTTTCTTCCGTTCACTCTCATACTGTAATGGCGACATTGTAGTTGGAGGCGCGATATCCCAGTAGGTGGCGATTCGATCGGCTAATTTGCTTCGTTAATGAATTGAAGAGATAGAGCTTGGGTAATCAAGTCGAAATAATCTACCAACTTATATTCGTCAAGTTCCCTTCGGGCGGATCGATTTGAACGCACATACGAATTGGCAGTGCACAGAAGCAATCGTGAGCACCATGTTGACGATCCGTGTAGAGACAATCACCGAACGTGCCGCACCTAAGAAAGAAAACCCATGGAGAACGCTGAGGGCAGTCACAAGCAATGTGTGGCATCGCACAACATTTTTTCTCAAAAATCGTTAGAGTTCTTCACTTTCCTTCCTTTCCCTGTTCCCCTACTTCTCCTCCTATGTTCTCCTATTTCTGCTTGTTGTCCCAACTTCAAGAGACGGCCAACCTCTTCCCGTATGAAGAGGTTCCATTGGCCGCTCTGAAGGACAAGGAAGATTCTCTAGGATGCGCTACACCAGCTCAGGAGCCCTCACTCGGAAATGTGTTGGCAACAAAGCACCTCTCTGACAGGAATAAGTCAGCTCCTCACAGAGTAAGTGGGGAGTAAGGACCCACTTATTCACTAACTTACCCCTTGTCTTAGGCAACAGAGACCTCGAGAGAATGGCATGCTTGGTTGACTCGATGGGAACCAATTCTGGGGAACTCCAACACAAATGTATCTACTGGATTACCACTGCCAAAGGATGTCCAAACGACGATGGACCAGTGTATTTTATAAGGGTACTCGTACTCTTTGCTCACCTCGGACATTTCCTTTCTTGCCAATCTTTCTGAAGATAACATGGCCATAAGTGATCGTTTTTCTTGTTATAGAAACATATACAGTCATTAGAGGTGTTGGTATCTTGCTGTAAACTGATCATTGAACTTCTGTTCTCACTATCAAATGATTAAAGTAGTAAAGTTTGGGACCGTTTCCTTGATAGCGTCACAATACATATCAGATTTACATGAGCACTCGGAGTAAACCGCCAGTATTCCCTCGTACTGGCGCAGAATCTTTTCATAAACACGTATTTTCCTCCTACGGACTCGAACCTAAACAAGTTATTTTTTTGAAAAAATCCGATGAAAGCCGAGTGGTGGGGTATACGCCACACACTTGGCCTACGTCTGGAATCGTAAATACTGTGTATCTTAATTCCTGTGATTTGATCGCATTGCATACGTACTAGAACTTTCATTACCTAATTAATTTTTCCAATTTTTTTGAGTTACAATTCGAAAAACTGTCCAAAAATAATGATGTACTCATAAGTTCTATTCTAGGGATACAGGGTGGTATCGTGCGATATCACAAGACTCTTACACCGACGACTTACGAGTGCTTTTTCCTCTGCACCTCCACCTTTTTCATCCAATCCCTCCGTTGCTGTTTCCACAGCGAAACATCGTCTATGTGAGTTACCATCACATATACACTCTTCTTCACCACTCAGCCCGAAGGATTGAGTACATCTGAATCGTACAATGTGGAAGCTTTTAGAAGAAGTTGATAAAAGTGAAAATTTCATATAAAATCACCGAATAAAAGTACAAAAATTAGTGAAAAAAAGGAAAAAAGTCAAGTCAACAGGGGACATTAATGAAAGTAGCCAAAGGGACCCCTCCACAAATCACTTTTTTGGATTTTCTTGAACAATTCTTCTTTGAAAGTATTTTTTGCAGATGAAAATTTCTGGATTTCTTACCTTCCCCACCAGTCACAGCCATTGCACATAGTATATTCCCATTCTGAGATATCTGAACAATAAGACGGTGATATTTCGGTAGCATCGTCTACATGAGGTAGCACACATAGGCATGTTTTGGACGAGTTTGCGCAATCGCTCATCGCTAGCGTTAAAGGCCAACGTCCCATAATCTGGGCTTATAGATTCATTCAAGCGGCTGATTGCAATCTATTTTGGGCCAGAAAGTACCTTCACTTGTTGTTCCACTTCGATACAGTAACTATGATTTCTACAGTAGCATAGTGGCGGAGTTAACGATATGGTATCATTTGGACAAACACGAATTTGAAACTCGCTTTCCGGAGCGCAATTCCAGTAGTATTCCTCGTTGGGAAAGGCTGAGCATAACTGAAATGCTCTATTAAAAGGATACGGTCATTCAGTTATCGATTGATAGATTCTGTAATGGTAACAAAGAGGAAGAAGGTTACGGTACACATCGTTCGTTTCCTTCCCGATCCACCACATAGTGATCGTGATCCCGACGGCAGTACACGTGAGCAGGACGAAGTCGTGGCTCATTGATCGACCTGGGTATCGCACATGCATGTATCAAGTTGGCAAAATTAGCAAAACAGACACATCCTCACCGTAGTCCCACTAATGCTTAGTACTAATGCTAGTCGCAAAATGTCGTAAAATAGCACGTATTCCTTGAGTAGGTATTATAGTTTAAAGGCACAGTTCACGATATATTTAGGGTACCCGTTTTTTGACGGGAAATAATAGATCCACTCCAGAATGGTGCGATAATAACGAAGAAAACGCAAAAAACGACAAATAAAAAGGAATAAAAAGGTTCAAAAAAGAGGAGAAAAGTGGGCTGGACGAGTTCCACAATGAAAAAACGGCGGTTAAGGGAANTGCGACGCAATGTCTGCAATTGCACACAACACACCCAAACCACTGATTTTGTCTTTATTGTTAGGCAAACACTGGGCAAACAGCTGATTTCGTGCTGAAGAGTGGATCCTGACGCGAATACATGATCTGTACGCGTCTACATCTCGTATGATGTGACATCGATCGAGGGGCGGGAAAGCCAATCACGACAACAACAGGGCTTGCACTATGCCCTGAACGTCGAGATTGGGGGAGTGAGAGGGTCCCTTCTACCACCCATGGGGGGAGCTGAGTCTTCCTGGAGGGAGAACTCAGTAACCTTTTTCATCGTGAACCGTGCCTTTAAATCGATAGTGATATAAGAGGGAAACTTCGATTTCTTATTAAATTTACATTTTGGTTCCAGGTAAACGATGGACTGATTAAACTCACCTTTTCCGACGCTGCCCCGGCTGATGATCCTTACCAGCAGAGCGATCGATGGCAGATTCGAAAGATTCAAGCTGAGATACTGTACTGGTGAGTGAAGTGTAAAAAAGTATGAACACGCTGACAAAAAGTCACTGACCGCGCTTTTTATTGAGGACGTTTGACGAGCTAGAGAATTCTTATACGGATTGATATTGCAAATAGTGACGGCGGGAAAGCGAATTTCTTCGAATCGGATCTCGACACCGACGATGATATCATTCCTGAAATTTTTTAATTCTGGATTTTAGTATGGAAGCGAGCGCGATCGCGACGCGGCTGCCATGAATCTTTTTTTATGGAATGGATAGAAAAACTTTTGCAGGATGTGAATTTTTTCAGCGGCATGCACCAGCTCCGGCGAACCGCCTCGCGACCGCATGCAGTAGTGTCATATAAAGTGGTCAAGAGGACAAAGTCGAAGAAAACCCTCTCACCTCTGGAATCGTTGAATGATCAGGTATGCTTGATATCCAAAAGCGCACAAACAAACCAGAAAAAGTAACAACCACAACATCCGTCGTAATCCCTCTGATACGTATGCTCGTGGAATACCATGAGCACTGAAAGCGTAAATATTTAAGAGCCTTCCAAATATTTTGAGATAGCCCATCGCTTCTTTCTTTTTCAAGTTATCCCGCTCACAAAATCATACCTCTTCAATAGAGCTCTAGGAAAAAGGATAGCGGAAAAAGGAGAGCTTTTTGATTACTAGTTCCAAGAGTTTTTTGAAAAGTATAAACGCGGCCATGCGTAGATGAATATAGCAGCAATTTTGATGGATTGTCGTTATTATTTTGTTTTTCCTTTGAAGTCCTCTTTCTGCCACATTGCAGCCGCACACGTTATTGTGCCATTCGTCTCCATCCTCCTATCAATGGAATCGGTGGGGTGGGTTAGGGCCTAGCGGTGGCAACTGCCTCAACTGTGATCCATGTCTCAGATCCCGTCTCATAAGTACCCAGTCCAACCGTGGTCGCTGCCTTCATACTTATCTGGGAGGATTAAGGCTTTGACTTGTACATCAGCTGCCTCACTCAACCGATCAAAACCGAAAATTTCCGAATTTCACCCATCATAGGGTACTAACGGGTAGAACCGTAGTAAGCTGGAAGATGTAGAAATGAATTTTCCCGGAAAATGGTCCTACCTGGTGTGTTCTGCGAAGTCCACAAAATCTTCGTTTAGGTTGTAAACTATATTCCGTATCCTTTTCATAGTATCAAAATATTTTCTAAAATTGAAAACATTTAAAGGCGGTTGAATACAGGCAGAGATGGAAGTGGATCTAGTATAGTTGGACGATGTGGGAGGTGTTTTGAACAATGTTGAGGTAGAAGAGATCAAAGACTCAAGTCCGCATCGCGTTTGTCTCACGAGTGTCAGACTGACTTGAGTTGGTTGCAGACAGGGGCTGGACAACGGTTGACTTTGACGGCACTTTATCGACCATTTCCTCAACGGCTAGGACTTTTAGTATCGAACTAACAGGTAGACCGTGAAATTAGCTTTTTGCTGCCCATATTCGAAAATTCAGCCAAATGAATTCGAGTTCAGTGGAACTCTCACCCACGACGATTCCGATGAGAATTGAGTGGAAGTATGTGGAAAAATTTGTAAAAACATAACGGACCCATAAGATTTTGCAGTAATGAGAGCAGCGTATGCCCTTGAAAATGTTCTTGGTCATCAAGTATATGTATGCGATGGAGTAATTGCCATTGAGGCGGAAGGAAGGAAAAGCTTGCACGATTACCTTTGCATAAGGTAGTTGGCGTCAGTCAATCAGAGTTCATGAGCAGGTCGAAAACTTGGACATTTTGATGGAGTTTCCGTGCAGACCATGTCACCTGCACCTGTAGACATTTGAGAGGAATTGGATTTATACATTATTGAACTCGAGTGGAGGTGTGGTTTGAGAACAGAAAGGTCGCCCATGGTACGGGAATAGTCGGAAAAATTGAAGTGAGAAATTTGCCGATGGTGATTCTGTTTCGGAATCCGCTCGCATTTAGCATCAAATCGGATTCGTAGCGACGTTCGGCTGGATATGCGGCCAGTACTATGGTTCTTGGGGGCTGGATAAATGCTTTTATTTTCCCAGACGGAATGTTATTAACCAGACGGCCCGGTAAGGATGGATGAGTCATCAGTCTGAGCAGGGTTGTGCTGCGATAATACCGGCGAGATGACAGGGTCACGCCGTACCCGTGACTGGCGATTCAGATTTACACCTGCTCTGAGGATAAAACGCCAGAATCCTTGATGGGATTCCAGAAATCAAACTGAGTTCAGACTTGTTTCGTGCACTTTAATATTTCTTTCTTCTTTCCAATGCATATGTAATGTTACTTAAACAAAGTGGCCCATTTATTCCGAGTTCGTGAGTTTGAAAGCCTTTTTTCTCAAAGGATGACAGTGTCTACGTTCTGCTCAGGAACCAATGACTATATTGTTCGTGTCTTAAGGACGTTTTGGCGATGGCGATTTAACAGAATGCAGTAGCTACTTAGTGAATGTAATTGAGGATCACAATTAAACTGCATTGAGAAGCCCTCCTAAGTTCATGGAAGTCGACCACCATCAAGTTCTTTCTTGGAGAAAACTACCATTTTGAGCTTCAGTATAAGAAAGTTCCTAGCTAGGCTAGTGCCTTTTACTTCCAGTACTTCAGTATCCGATGAGCAATGTTCGAAAAGAAGCAAGAAGTATCAGTGCTATTTTAGGGAAAGACTTTGAGGCTATGAGATGAAATGTGTCAGTGACAAGTTGGGTCATCGGCCTTGTTTTGGTGCTGTTTTCGCGGTAGATTTCGTGGCATAGGGGCTTGTCGAATTACTCTTTTCACCTGCGCCTAACCTCATCAGACTTTTCAGAACTACTCCGTCGCTCTCTTTGCGACCCTCACTACTCCGATGTCCTCTGCAGCTCGATGACGTTCTTTGGCCACTGATTGAACTGATTGAACTTTTCTCCATCTTGGCCCTCTAGTTCTTCGTGCTATGCTTCCATTTCCGTGTCCTTTTTCTTCGCTTATTTAGCTTGGTAAACTTTCTGCAAATTTCTTAGGAAGTAGGAAGTAAAGTCTTCAGAAATTTGCTCCATTGGCCAGCGCTTGCTGACGGCTTTCTTTTATCTGAAACTTGCTGAACTTAATCGTTCGAGAACCAGTCATTCCTTGTCTCCCCGAGACTCCTCCAGCGTCTTCTCCCACAAAGTGGGATGACGCTCACAATGTTGCGCCAAGTGTTCAGGGTATGGTGAGCTTATTCCAGTTTCACCCACCCGAGCTCGAGATATAGAGTTTGAGGATATTTTCTCGTCTCCCTCCACTGCTGTAGTTGCCCTCCATGGACTCCTTTTTGGGGGAAGTGTGCTGCAAGCTGCTAGGTCGTGAGCTGTGGTCAGATTGGTGAACCTCTCTCGAATCCCTCCTTCGTATCTATACTCACAAACATGAAGCGACTGAAACAGGCGACTGAACCTTTGATAACGGAGACTGATGGGCTCCGTCACTGCTATAGCCATATCGTTTCGTTTGGTAACTACTCGATTGCAGCGAAACTTGACCTCATCCCCATTTCCAACAAACATTGCTTATTTCCAACTTGCCTCTTGGAGCCATTAAACTTTTATGTTTCCTCGCTTCCAAGAGGCAGGCGATTTTTCGGTCAGACACTCAATGTTCAGCGTTCAAATGGAATAGAAAATAATGCCAAGGAAACTATTACAGGAGTGATGACACTGAGTTTGACGAGACGGATAGAGGGATAGATGAATGGC